TATTGTTTTGTTGATTTTGTCACTTTCGTCAAATTACTCAAAGTGTAAAAACCCTATTTCGTCACATTTATTTTCGTCATGTGACGAAAAGGAGATATTTCGTCACCCAACCTTGGTGTAAACCATTACTTATTGCATAAGTTGTGCGATCCCTTAATTGTTGCTCATCCAAGATACAACATCCATAATTGTAAAGTTTTCTTTAATTCTATTGCGAACAAAACATGTTTTGAATTTACCTTTTGACCTTTATTTGTAAATAAAATATTAGGGGTGTATCTCTCTCAAGTAAAAGTTGTTCAAATTTGATGAATTTCATTTGTTTTGTTTAGACAGGTTAGTTGGTCTTTAAAATAAATATTTTATAATTTTATAATTTCTATAATAAATAATTATGATATATTATTTTTATCCATAAAGGTTTTTTTTAAAAAGTTTATATATAATACAAATTCGTTATTCCAAGGTTTGAAATCTGTGCAAAATTTTAAATTCACACGCGCGTGAAATCTGAAAATTTTGTGTTAAATTTTGTGAGATTTCTCCACAAAGTTGGAATATTGATGTTGTTCCATTGTTTGTTGACAAGAATGCAAGAATATAATTTTTATAATCATTTTTTTTCTGCAAAAAAAGTAATTCCAACCAACTAAAATTAAATGATATTTACAACGTGCGAAATTTAGTTTAAAAAGTCCTTTTTTTTATCAATTCCAATTCTTCATTAAAAAATTGTCATTGATATTAGCAACCCTATGTTCAATAGTTATCGAATTTAATTTTTCAGGTAGTGTTTGATTTAACATTAAAAGTAATCCAACTAAGTAATTCATTCTTATAATATATAATAAATTTTTGTTAATTTCTGGTCTACTTCATTTTTGTAAAATATTGTTAATTGACAATCAGTGAAGTGAATATTATAATCAGTCAGTAACCTTTTATAAAAACAAGTTACTCTTCCAAGATAATATTTATTGTTTTTAATTATTAGGGATGTCAAGTGATCCTAAACGACCGGCCTGTCTATGGACTGTCCTTGGACCGGTTGAATCTTTCCATAAAAAAGGACAGTCCATAGTTTCGTGATCTTTTATCACATTTGTTGCCAGTCCTAAATGGTATTTTTTAACCAATGATCAAATATTGATTTATATATATATATCAGTATAGTGATGTCACCAAAAAAAAAGATTTAGATTCGGAACCCTTTTTCCAATAATGAATACCTATGTTACTCTACATATTGAATTGCTATATAAAATCAGATAAAATGTATAACACAAATAGGTAAGGATCAATAAGATTATAAAACCTTTGAGTAATTACATATGATCGGCAATTTGTCATCGCCCTTTGTCCAAAGTTGATGCATGATAATACAGTATATTGGCTGAAATGTTTGCACTGTTGCTAATTAAAAATAAATCAATATATGCATAGTGCGCCGAGACCAAAAATTGAAAACCTGATTTATATGATGATGATAGTGCTAGAATGATTTCTTTCTTTACCGGTTAATGAATATTGAAAAAAACAATTATATATTTATAAATTTTGGTAATTTAAAATATTTCAGAGTTACAATATAAAATTTTTTTTTTTGTAATTTCCCAAAATTAATAAGTGATCAAATGGTCACGTTAGAATTACAACCTTTTTCTGGCTCTTTCTTTTTTAAAAAAAGTGCTAATTAAGGAAGGAAGGTTTCCTTTTTCTATTGATTAATAATGAATTGTAGGATCAAAAAAACTTCTAAAATAAGAGATCTTAATAAGTAAATTTTATTGATTTCTTTTTATAAATCATTTAATGTTAATTTTATTTATTGATTCCCGATGCAGATGTGCCGGATGGAAAATCCTTAATATTAAAGAGTTGTTAATGGATTAAAGGGCCCATAATGTTAACCCGTTAACAATCTGGATCATGACGACGACTGTCTTAACTGTTAATGCTAAATTTTATTATATTATCCACAATGAAATCTAGATTATTTCTTTGAAAACAGTCGATAATTTTCATTTGGTTAATGGATGAATGAAATGAACAAGTGAAATGAATAAATCAATAGCTCTAACTACTTATGTCACATTATAAGTCATCATCTTCTTTCAATTAAACCCTTTTATTTTTTTAAAAATAAAATATAAATAAGTTAATAATATAATAATAATGATGATGCTAATAAATTATTAAATAACAATATTCCAAAGCTTTTAATTAGCAGTAAATTATTCGAGTTGTTTTCAGTAGTTTGGTGGTGTTGAATCAAATGAATTTATTATTTATTGATTGATTATATTTAAATTTGAATTCGTACACTTTCAAGACACTTACCTTTTTTCAAAGATTATTTTTCCAAAAAAAAAACATTTAAAATTACATAGTATTTTGAAAAATCAACAAATATTTAACTGTATTTTTTTATTTAAAAAAATTTTTTTTAAGAACATTAAGATGGTTTATTTGTTAGTAACCTCATACATAATTCGTACACTGTAAAGGTTGCACCTGCAGCAGGTAAACTATATAAATATATATATAAATATATATATAAATAAAATAAAAAACCATTATTTAAAATTGAGAAAATAATAAACATGTAGATTTTATAATAGAAAAATTTTTTTTTGATTCATTAATTTACCTTCTCAAAACTTAAGTTTTTTATGAGTGAAAGTAAATCATTAATAAATTAATTAGTATTAGATTAAAAAAAAGAAAATCAAAATATAAAAAAATTACTTGTTGGGGTGATTCCTCTGGTGAAAGTCTTGAGACCTTCAGTTTTGTATATTGATTTCGTAATAGTAAATATATAAAATATACCTCCTTTAGGTGGAGCTTTTTGATTTTGTACCTTTTTTTATTTTTAACATAATATTAATAGTAATACTCATATAACCATCACCAATCCAAAATACTTTTCAATTCCTTCCTCGTGACACTTACCTTTGATTTAACAACATCAAGTGGATAACTACACAACCAATAACTAACACCACCAATTGAGCCAGACAACATCAATCTACCAGGTGACAAATCGTCCGGGCTAGTACCTACCGGTGCCAACTTTCTTTTCGTGAATTCAAAGCCAGCATAGAACCCGGCGTACCCAGGTATTTCTCTGGCAACCGTTGCCCAAAAACCACGAAACAACCCATTTCTTATCCCGTATTCTTTGATCAATTGTTTAGCACAATCAATTGGTCCTTTGTATATCACGGTGTTGCTGCCAGCGGTGGATGTTAGTAATGATGGCTTACCATATTGTGCTTGCATTCGAATCTTTAACAATTCCACTGGTGACGCGAGAACACTATTCACAGCTCCTATATACGATATATTGGATTGTGATGATGAATTGAACAAAGATTTTAAATTTTAAAGTAAAAAACAAAAGTCGCTCTACTGGAAGTCGGCCGTTCTAGCTTACAACATTCCCCACACTCCATTCCCAATATAGAATAAAAATAATTTACCAGCACCAGAACCAGCAATAGCTATCTGTGGAATTGTCAATTGTTGATTAGCGGTTGTCGCTTGTAACTCTTTTAGACGCGAGTAAGCCGCGAATAGTACCGCGTTCACGGAGCCTATTCCAACTAATGGACTAGCCATTCCTAAAATAATATTTTTATTTGTAGCATGTGGCTAATAACGATTATACTGTGTAACAATAACAGACACACATGGGCGACGAACCTTTGTAAAGCGCAAAAAATCCTTCATTTTTAATCGTTTGAACCAAACAATCCATTGGTCCTTTAAATCTTGTAGATTCTAATTGAAGCCGAACCTTTTCGTAAAAACATTTTAGAGGTGGGAAATGATTGGATGAATCAACTTACAAAATGACGACGAATGAGTAGTAGGCTATTTTAGAAACATGATTTTACTATTTTGTTACCTTTATTGTATCCAAAGGCTGGCCAATAGATACTTGTGCCTATTATTATCATTATCATCATTTATGTTTAATTAATAATTAATTAATTAATAATGAACAGTCGACTTTCTTGGAAAACTCACCATTCCAGCAAGGCTAAAATAATTTCGATAGGGAAAAGGTTATATAGTTTAAATAAATAAGAAAATAACAACAATGATAATTATTATAAACCTTCCAGCCAAAAAATCTTCCCAGCCATCTTTTTCTATAGCGGTGGTGGTGGTGGTGGCGGCGGCGGCAAGTGTGGGAGTGAGTGTGGTGGTGGTAATAGGGGAGGCAATATCACTTTTCTCGCCCATATTTAAATAAATAAATTAATTAATTAATTTAATATTAAAAAAAAAAAAAAATGAAAATCTCAATTCAAATAAAGAAAATATCGTCAAAAAATAAAAATTTACATTTTGTGATACAACAAGTTTACCTTTTCAATAGCCAATAAAGCAGGGTTGGCAAGTGTGCGGTCCATTGATGGTCTATTGGGTCCATCAGTGTAACACTTTAACCATATTTAGTATTTTATTAATGGCAATGGACCAGTCCAAAATCCATCTG